TTTCAGTACTTGTGTATTTGAGAAACAACATATGCCGGTTAATAGCAGCTCCCCCTATGGTATTTAAGATCACCATATTCCAAATATTCTCATCAGATGAGTCTTATTAACGTGATTTCGTTCACGCAGCTTATCTATATTTTTCGGTAAACTCGCAGCGCCTGTATATAAGCAATTGGTGCTGAAGATTCCACATGTATTTGGAGTTTGACAACGCCTTGACCAGTAACACCTCCTAATATGAATCGTACCCACCAAGTGAAATCAAAAGCGAGAAGCCAGGAGGTTCGAAGATATGTTTGATAGGCTATCAATATATCGAGGATTGACTGATCTAATCTGGCTTGCAATTACAAAAGATGTTGAAAACGGCGTTCACACTAGTGATCTGATGCAGGTTCATGACCGAGTGCCTTCAGCTAGTTTGTGGCCGCCGCAAACTGGAGAAAAATGAGGGTAATCTGGATTGATCAGTGCCTGCGATCCACATGCTGAGTCATGGTTTTTCTCAGCTTCGAGAATTTATCCGCGCACTTCCATCCCTCAACGTAGTACACTGCATTATCAGTATTTTTGTTTTATGGGATGCCTTGATATCTCTCCCGTGGAAGAATATCCTACGTCTTCCTTCGGCATATTTCTGTCGAGATTACCATCAGGCGCTACCCTCACATCCCCTCCAGATTTCAACAAGTGATTATCTGCAGAACATCCTCCATGCCAGCAGTGCTAGAGAACAATACACATTTTCCTGAGTGATTTGGGTTTACTTTCAAGCCAATTTAGTGTTATATTGACTAATGGCTCTTATTGAGCTTGTTAAGTGATAATATTCACACCTCCAGGTAGTGGTTCAAAGCCGTAAGGTGATTAAATCGAATGTTTTTGTGAAGTTTGGAAAGATGAGTTTGAGAAGGCCGTATATGTTCGTTTGTGTGCAAAACATTTACGGTGAAACGTAGTTCTACAGTAAATTGAAATATCTTTTTTATGCAACTTTCTATACGTGATTACATTTACATTCACTATCTACTGTTTATTTGCATTAATTATGACTAAACTTCACTTGTAATTAATTGGTATTTCTGTTACCTTTGGCGTCCAAGCACATGTTACTTAAATTGTTCTTTTTTCTGCTTTATTAGCGTCGGGATGTGATTGAAAGGTATAAGTGTTGCAATACCTGGCTAGCGATCTAACCCCATGAAAAGTAACGATAAATGAGCCGCAAAATATTTAAACCTTTCTTTATATTCCGTATACTATATTTAGGCTAACTTCGCTGGACAGTAAAAGTCAAGTTCGAATTTCATTGAAAGAGTTGTATATTTGATATAAATTATTTTGTGGCTCGATTCATGAGTGATTCGTTGCTTACCGAAAATCGTTCAGGAAGTCGAGGATTTCGAAAACTCAGTGGGCTCCAGTATGTCATCAGGGTCCAGTATCAGTAGTTATGATATGAAAGGGCAAATGAACTCATGTTACGATCAGCCTGCCTGTAGGTTTACTCTGCTTCCTTTCTTTCTCTGATTTTTCTCCATTCGGATCGGTAGTTCATTCCAGTCGTAGGTCAAACAAATGTTGATCACCAACCTAGGTGATATGTGTTGAATGATTGTGGGATCTACTGGAAGTGGACGGGAATGGTTGAGACATTTACTGCTTCCAAATTAACACTGACAACACATGTTACAGTTTGCTGAGAAAACACGATGGGTAGCACTATTCGTGATGAAAACCCTAACTTTAATTTTCGGCCATAAATCCCCACACTTATCTGTTACCCTAATTTTACTCACACACTCACACCAAGTTCACAATCAAGAGTTTATCGATCATGGTGAATCCGTATGGTGCTCAGTAATATTGCCTACTACCTCGAGGTGTCTAAATGGGGTCATCTACGGGAAGCCCACTGTTGACATCGAGTACGATAATTGTATGCTGGAAGGGTTATCCCGCTCTACGCGTATCGAATTCCCTCATATCCTGATTCTAAGGAACTTCAATCTCCCTAGAGTCACTTTCGTGAAAACTCAACTGAAGATTGGTTCTTCAACCTCATTGAAGATCTGGGACTATTCGAAAATGTGAAGTCAGCAACTCCGTCACGCTTAAACTGGGTATACATAAACAAAGAATTCCTTGTTGAAAACCTCCCAATACAGGCTCCCCTGGGGAAAAGCGATCGCGCCGTTATAGCCTTTAGTTTTGTTAGCAAAACTGAGTTAATATATCCCACCAACAACAGGCTCTGGAATTTCAAACAGTTGAATGTTTCAGCTTTACAGGACTATCTACAACAGGTGGATTGGGATGTTTACCCTCAATTTGGTGTGGATACTCATTGATATTTCTTACTGCACATGTTCTTATGTGCTACCAATCAGTCAGTTCCCCAAATGGTCACCAAAAGCTGCAAGCAACATACGATCATCAAGAACCGCACTCTTCGTTTGTTAAGCTGCAAAAGGCACTGCTGGGTAGAATACAACGGAGCGTGCAGGCAATACAAACATATGAGAAACATATGCACGAAGGCTATAAGAGAAGACAGGCTTCAGGACCAGATAAAGCTTATGGATAAGTTTGTCTCTAGTCCTAAAAGCTTATTCCGTTATGCAGCCTCTCTTTGACGAGCCAAAACTGAAGTTTCCTGACTGCTAGGTCCTAATGGCCTGACCAATAACAACGGCGATGCCGCTAACCTTTTGGTTGAACAATACTCTCGGACATTTCAACCGACCCATATCAACTATACTGATGAAAGCTTTATCGGCAACTGCACCGGACTTTCCGAAGTGAACCTCAGCGCTGACTTGGTGTTCCGAAAACTGCAGCACTTAACAAAAAACACTCCTATCTCAGATACTGTTCATTCTGCTACAACGAGGGAAGCAGCTTAAATCCTGGCAACACCGCTTAGCGTGATGTTCTAACACTCGCTAAGCCGGAAAAACTATCCGAATCACTAAACCTTCGGTCGTTAGAGTATAGGGGTTCTAGAGGTGACCCCTTCATGGCTTACAGTATTCTTAACACTTCTGGACATCCCCTTAAACACCTATTTAAGCTTAGTCCCAATACAAACCTAAGGGGTAACACCCAGAAATTGGAGATACATCATAGCGGAACGGACTTTAAATACAACTTCTACTCCTTAAGAGTTGTCAGATGCTGGAATTCGCTGCCGACCGAACTAGTCCAAGCGACTTCTTAGGAGTCCTTTAAGGAGGAAACCTGACCTATTCTTAAGGATAAAGGACAACATTTTATTATGATTTACCAATTTCTTTTTTCCCTATTATCGTTAATACACCTAGGTTCCTGCCTGGAGGTATTGGTGACAAGGAAGCCCGTTAAGCGAAAGCTTCTTCTATTCCGTCCACAACCATCTGAACTATTTGAGTAGGCACTCGCAAGGTCATCGTCAAGCCAAAACTGGAGTTTCTCAACTGCTAGGTTTTAACGGCCCGACCAACAACGATGGCGACGCCGCTAACCTTCTGGCTGAGCATTACTCCCAGACATTTCAACCGACCGACATTAGCTTTACTGATGACAGTTTCGTTTGCAATTCCACAGAACTTTCCGAAGTGAACCTCAGCGCTGACTTGGTGTTCCGGAAACTGCAGCACTTAAGATTAGACACTTCTCCTGGCCCGGACATCGTCCATTCCATCATACTGAAAGAAGCAGCCTCAATCTTGGCAACGCCGCTTAGCATGATGTTCTCACACTAGCTAAGTCGAAGAAAACGACCGGAAAATTGGAGGCCGGCTCACAACATACCAATTTTCAAAGGGGGTCGACTCAGCGAACCTTCAAGTTACCGACCGGTGGCTCTTCTCTCCATACCCTCAAAAATCATGGAGTCCTTGATATGTGATGGTATAAATTACTATTTACTGTCCTTAAATTTCTTCTCACCCCAACAGCATGGTTTCAGGAAGGGTTACTCTTGTATTACCAACCTGCTGACTGCGTTAGACAGACGGACAAGCATCCTTGATCACAAGGGAAAGGTTGATATAATCTATCTAGATTTCTCAAAAGCTTTTGATAAAGTTAACCATAAATGTCTTCTCAATAAGCTCAAACGACTGGGTATCAAACCACCTCTAATTAACTGGCTCACTCCATATCTAAAAATCGACATTTTAAGGTCAGGGTTAATTTCACTTAATCTCAGGCTATGGAATGTCCTAGTGGGGTCTCCCAGGGCTCAGTACTGGGGCCTTTTCTCTTCTTGATCTACATAAATGATCTTCCTCAACAGGTAACGTCAGACTTATTACTTTTTACCGACGGCGTGAAACTTTGGAGTGAGATACGCAACCAAGACGATATACAGGCACTTCAGGAGGATCTGACTCGAGTTCAAAGTTGGGCAGACGATAATGGACTTACCTTTAACACTTCAAAGTGTAAAGTAGTCCATCTGCGACATGTCGCAGACTACAGTTATAACTTAGGTAACTCCTCTCTAGTAGTATCCCAAGTCGAAAAATATTTAGGAGTGTTGGTGCCCTACGATTTAAAGTCTTACGCTAACTGTGACAAAAATGCCTTCCGAGCAAACCTTGCACTGGTAACACTGAAGCGCATTTTTGGCCAGTTTGACGGAGGAACTTTCCATATAATCTTCAATAGTTTTATTCGTCCCCATTTAGAGTACGGAAACATAGTATTTCCTCCCTCATTCCAAAAGGACAAGGACACCCTGGAGCGTATCCGACGGCGGGCCACTAAATCAGTTCGAGGACTCAAATTTAAACCTCACGAAGAGCGCCTCCATACACTTAACCTTAACCCATCAGAGTATAGACGTCTTAGAGGTGACCTTCTGATGGCTTATAGTATCCTTAACACTTCTGGACATCCTCTCAAACACCTATTTAAGCTTAGTCCCAACACTAACCTAAGAGGGAACATTCAAAAACTGGAGACGCAAAATAGCAGAACGGACTGTAGACACAACTTCTACTCCTTAAGAGTTGTCAAATGCTGGAATTCGCTGCCGAGCGAGCTAGTCCAAGCGACTTCCCAGGAGTCCTTTAAGAGGCGACTTGATCTATTCTTAAGGACTAAGGATAGTATCACACTATGGTTTACTAATTTCTTTTCCTCTTTTATTCTTAACATACCTAGGTTCCTGCCTGGAGGATTTGATGATCCCTGTTACTAGACACGGAAGCCTATCAAGCGAAAGTTTCTTCTATTCCGTCCACAACCATTTGAACCATTTGAAGGTCACGAAGGCATCGCTCAAAGGTCGTTCATAAGTTGTAGTCCAACTACTGAATGGATGTTAAGTGACAAAATATTTTCTTTGACAACTTGGTTGTACAGTGACAAATAGCTGGGTTTATAGTTGGTTTTCCCTGAGTGAATTTAAGGTGAGTTTGGTGTCTTCGAGAATCACTAATTTCTATGTGGATCTAGTTTACACTAAATCCACATGTCACTTTTTAGTTACGAAGTAGGATCGAGTGTAGATTAGGACAATATTATTCTAAATGTCATTTAAGCATGTCACACATATGTTTTGCATTCGTTAAAGTCCAGAGCTTTTTGTGAAGACATTTTAACACCAAAATTTTTTGGTTAACCTTAATGATTCGGAAACACTATCGCTGAGTATTATAAAAATTTGTTGTCGGAAAGCTTATCATTTTTCATCTGACGTGATTCGCGTTTATGACCGTAAAGTAAGTAAGCTTTCCCTCGTCCACTATGGCAGCGCTCAAAAATCGTTCATGAATTACATTTTCCCAAGAATTCGTTTAAAAAATCCTGAGTTAACTCTAGTTATGCCTTGTTAACAAGCAAATTTATACATAAGCATGCTAATTTGCAAGTTTGCTTGCAACAGACAAATGTTATGATAAATATTATCAGCTATCCTAGTGCGTACAGAAAATTACATAGATCTTCATGGAAAAGAAGTTCTGATTTCCGTAACATACGTTTCAGGTCTTTCTTGAAACTCACCAACTGTATTGTTGGTGAAACCCCTATCCCGTAGAGAAAAAGCTTGTTAGAAAGAACCTTAATCAGATTAAACAGCTCAACCTTTCCTGACTAAGGAACAAAATCATTTTATCATACAAGCTATGCATTACTTTGTTAGCTTAGTAAGTGGCGGTGTATTGCTGTTAAAATTCTTTTACATTGGTTGGTTGTAGTTAGAAGTAACCATACTTAATAATAAGAACGATATTAACATCATTAATTATAACCACTTTCGTTTAATAAGATCAGTGGTATACTGCTTTATCACAATTTATAAGGTGGTGTGTTTCGTAATTTTGAGCGTCGATATTGAAATTTTTTAACTTCATACTCAACTACTGTTAAAAAATTCATGTCATCTTCCCTGATTTTTCATGTCATTCAGAATCCCAAACTTTGCCAAAATGTATATAATTGGTATTCTGAAATATTAATCCAGTTTCTTTAGAATTTATCTTGCTTCATGCTTTTAGGTGTTTTGGGATCAAACAATACTCACCTATGGTTGATCAGACTGGCCTGGATGTATGGACTTTAGAATCAGAGATTCAACTTTTTCATGCTATATTGAATCACAAACCCGTTGGTGCGGATCGTCATTTTCAGATGATATATGTATGCAACCTTGTAAACTCGTTTGTGAGTGATCCAATTAGTACAGATACTATTTGGAAAAAGCTAGGTTCGTTGTATAACATGGAAGAGTTGGTAATTTAATCTTCCTCTTAATACAGCATTTTCATCTAGCATGATTCTGAAGTTAATCCGTTTCAATCAAAGATGAAGGAATTCAGCCTCCCAGAAGAGTATGACTCCCTGAAATCCTTGAAGTATCCTCGTGTGACATCACAGAGTGGCATATCTGTTTCTCGATCTCCACGTACTGGTGAGTTAATACTAGAGTTCACCCTCACTGTACAAATACTGTTCCTGTTATTTTCTTACACATACCGTAAGATATATAATTCAAAACTGATATTGCATTGTTACCCACAGATGCGAAAACACTGGAGAAGTATCTCCTCTAAAGATGATTGAACCTCTAAACTATTATACCCATTAGTTATAGAGCTTTCTCTTAAGATGGTGTGCATTATCTGACACGTAGTTATAGCCTAAAAAATAACTATCCGTTGATAAAATAAATATATTCCCATCTTTATAAGTAAAGACGAATGGTGGCTGGCAGTGTAATCTAGGAAGCGCGTTTCGTCTTATCTAGGACTGACCCGCTGGTTATATCTGTATCCCAGAGTTGATGTTCACTCCACTGTTACCCACCATCTATCTTTGCTTATAATGCTTGTGACTTAAGGTAATATCCAGGCAATCCGCACAGGATAGGCATATCCCAATAAGAGACTGGTCAATTTCGGTCTTGAACACCAATGGTAAGATTCAAACAATAAAGAATGAATTATTCCCATCTTTGTTTCAAATTAGAAGCATAATAAGAAGGATTAGCTACTGCACCTATTTATGTTAAGAACTATAGTTTACACTGTATTAAGCCGTAATAAGTGTTTCTGTTAAATTTGTCTTTTTAGATTCCTTTAGTCAAAAAAGAACAAGGAAATCTTTGCGTTCAGTTGACTCAAACACAACTCCAGTCTCTTCAACTAACTCACCGGCTACTACAACCGCTGGTTCTGTTACTTCACGAGAAAAAAGACGTTGATTTCTGTTCCCATATTGAATATGCGATTTGTTTTGTATCACTAACAAAGTGTTTTGCAATAAATATTTGTATTCGCTTCATTGTTTTAATTTTCTCCCCAGTAACGTCTGTAAATAAATTGCGTCTTTCAATTGGAATATCCTCTCATTTTTCAATAGATTATGGTCATGTTTAGCAACATAATTGTCATGATTTTAAAATGATTAAGTTTACTTTTTATGGAACCTGATCTCTTTATTGTAGTCACTTCCATATATAGTATTTACAACTCAACTTATTTAACATATATAGCTAGTAGACTCGATAAAACTGTGTTTACTAAGATGAATCATAACCTGACGAACTAGCAGATTATGTTTTTTGCGTATAAGATCACACATCGTGAAGTCAGTTACACTTGAACACGATTAAAAGAGATAATTGGTACTGCAGTGTGCATCATCTGATGTACCTCATTTGTTATATGATCATGAAAGTGTGATGTCAAATAGAGGATAAATGTGATAATTAGAAGTATTTAGATTATTATACGAACTAGGAGTCTGTGATGAATAAAAGTATTTGAATTATAGTACAAACTAGGAATCCTAGGAATAACGCAATTTAACCAAGAAGTATCAGATGAGTACGAACGGACGTATTGTATTTGGAATTCGAAATCAGGCAGTCATCAAGCACAAAAGAATCATTAGTCCATACAAACACCACATCCTATACAGCTTAAATGAGAATCCAAATTCTGCAATCAATTGTACCTCTTCTCCATAAGTTCATCATGTCTGTCCGACCGTGTATTGGATATAGTCTCTGTATGATCTAGAATATACTTATTAGTATTAGAGTTAACAACTGAAATTGGGACGGACTCACGGGATTGTATACAACCACCATGTCGGTTATGTACTGAAGCCACTGATACCTAGAATTTGAAATAGACTTTCAACACTTTCTTCCCCCTATGAAATAATGTGTGGTCCTTATGTCGTGCCCCCAAATGCCCTGGTATGGCCGAGAGTGGGGTGGGCTCGTCCTCCCTCTCGAAATACTCTCACACGGCCACACGTATACAGCCTCTGCCAGGGAAGTCCTACTCACTGACTTCTCGTGGCGGGGGTGTTGTTCACGAAAACAAGAGGATGGAAAGCGAATGTCCGACGCTTTAACCGGATCCCAAACCAATGGTGCACATGGGCTCCAGTATCCTGAGGGAACAAATGGCGTATGAACCAATCGTCGGTCACCGGCTACCATGGGACTGCATCTCCTCACGATGCTCCACTGCCTTGTGGGTCAGACCATAAGGTCAAAGGCTCGGGGTGTGGCCCCCTAAGAAAACCACCTACTTTGGTCTGGGCACCCGGGCAGTATCACAGCCCACACACAAAAATGATGAACTGTCTATTTATGGAAAATATTCTTCCTGCTCCGAATAACAATCAAATAATCCACATTATTATTATTGTTATTATTATTATTATTATTATTATTATTATTATTATTATTTACTGCGTCATTATTCACCCTCCTTTATTTCCACTCTGTTTAGACTTATTTTTTCGACTTATACAGAAGCTCGTCTATGGTGGAAATTCGACTGTATCTAAACGTTCTCGAGTCACTGTCCAGTTGAAAATTGTATGTTACCACCGAATACGAGGACTGAAGCAGTTTTTCTGAAACCACGTGCATCATTCAAACTGGCTGCCTTCAATGTTCGTACATTTATACAGTTCGGACAATAGATAGGGCTGTCTATGTCTTTGGAAAGTCTTAATATTGATGTTTGCTGTCTATCCGAGACCCGTATTCAAGACTCTGGTGAAGTATTACAAATTCGCTCTCCATCTGTCGCTTCAAAAATCTTGTTTCACGTGCGCTTATCCGGGGACCCTGTGGCATCTTGGTCTGGTCTTGCTGGCGTTGGTGTCGCACTAAGCGCTAGAGCTGAGGCAGCACTAGTCGATTGGATCCCCATTAACAGTCGGTTATGTACTGTTAGATTAGAAAGTTCCATCAAAGTGAGAAGAAATCGGCGTGAGAAACGATGTCTTTTCGTCATCTCCGCCTATGCCCCGACAGATAGCAGCCCGGATGCAATCAAGGATGAGTTTTACTACCAGTTATCTGTTCTTCTCCAGAAAGTGCGTTCGACAGATATTGTAGTACTAGCCGGAGACTCGAATGCTCAGGTCGGGCGTCTAGGCACAGAAGAGAGTCGTTTAGGTGGCCAATGGGGACTTGTTGGTCGCAGGACAGATAACGGTGGCCTTCTACTGCAACTGTGCTCAGACCACAACCTGTTTTTGGCCAGCACTAACTTTCGGCACAGTCATCGCCGATGTGCCACCTGGCGTCCTCACTCTGCATCTCAAGCCTGGACTCAGATTGATCACATCGCGATCAGCTACCGCTGGCGTGGTTGTGTACAAGAATGCAGCTCCTTTTCGAGTACCTATCTGGACTCTGACCATGCCTTGGTCTGCGCCAATCTTACCTTACTTTTCAGTGGACAACGAAGTGACCGCCACCAACGGATTGATGTCAGCAAGCTGGTTGCAACTTCTGTTGGTAGTAAGTATCGAGCCGAGCTAGTTTCTAGGCTAACTACCATTCCACCGAAAGGTATAGACGAGCATTGGTCGCAATTGCATGACGCCATCAAAATGGCGAGTAAAGTCAGTTGTGGGTTTGCGAAACGTCCCGCTTACAAGCACTGGGTTTCTTCAGGCTCCTTAGAACTCATTGAAGCCCGTCGGTCTGCTCCGGGTGACCGTGAGTTCGACCACAAACGAAGGATGCTACGTAAGGAAATCGGGCAAAGCTTGCGTAAGGACCGAAAAGCCTGGTTGTCGGGGCGTGCTAATGAGCTGGAAGCAGCAGCTGCATCTGTTAACTACCGGAAGCTCTTCCAACTCATCCGAGCCACATGCAGCAAGAAGTCTGGTGTGAGCGAAACAATCTGCGAGGATGACGGGATGCCAATCACTAACATCCATCGACGTTTTGGACGATGGGCAGAATTTTTCGAAGGGCATTTCGACTGGCCTGCTGCTCCGGCAGCATCGGTCAGACTGTCCTGCCCCCCATGGCCGGTGACGACTGATCCACCAAAGGAGGAGGAAGTCCGCAAGCAACTCCAACTCTTGAAGCGTTACAAATCACCTGACGCAGATGGCTTACCTCCGGCTCTTTTTAAAGATGGTGGTGGCTTTCTGACTAAGGAACTGACTGTGTTGTTTACAAAGGTCTGGGAACTAGAGAGTGTACCAACGTCATGGAATGAGTCGATAGTTGTCCCTATCTTTGAAAGGGTTCACGTCGTTCCTGTAACAACTATCGGGGGATAAGTCTACTTCCGATTGCGTCCAGGCTATTGGCTTCCGTCATACTTCGTAGGTTGTTCAAAACTCGAGAAAGATTGACTCGCGAGGAGCAGGCCGGGTTTCGTTCTGGTCGAGGATGTATTGATCATATCGTCACCCTCCGCCAAATGTTAGAATACCGCCATACTTATCAAAGGCCAACAATCATAGTGTTTCTTGACATCAGGGCTGCCTTTGATTCGTTGGACATGACTGTTCTGAGGGACTGTTTATTGAAGAAGGGTGTGCCTGAGAAGTTTATTAACATCTTAAAAGCCCTATACACAAACACCTCAGGCAGACTGAGGGCATTTAGTGGCCCGTGGATCTGACTCCTATTTAGATCGTACGAATGTTTGTTTTCGCCTATTCTCGTATATAATCGTCGACTTAAATCACGTTATCCAATAACGGAATTAAATAAGTCGAATAACGAGAATTGATTTGTGAATGCATATATTTTGTATATGAAGCGAATGAAACAGAGCAGAGCAAAATGACACGCAGGGAAGATGGCTGGGAAGCCAACTCCATTTTAGTCAAGCGTTACTCAATATTTATAGTCAGACAAAAATAAGCTACAGACATGTGATTAATGGGATAAGAAGGGCAGACACATATACGCTCATATAAAAACAGTAAAGATTGATAAGCGAATAAATAACAAGGTCAACATATGACTCAAGTAGAATGAATAGAATGGAATGTCCGAAAGCTAGAATAAGATATATAATGACTGACACTACAAACATACAACCACCTCTCTCCATTGTTCCATTCGAGCAGTGGGGTTAGGCAGGGTTGCCCAATCTCACCATTCCTCTTCAACTGTGCCATCGATGACATTCTGGAAACAGCTCTGGTGAATGTAAGTAATGGTGGTGTGGATCTGTTGCCTGGAGAAAGACATCTCGACCTTGAGTATGTGGATGATATTGTCGTACTGTGTGATAATGCCCAAGCCATGTAATCCGCACTTAATCAGTTAGTAATCAGTGTCCGTAGGTATGGTATGTGCTCTGCACCTTCGAAGTGCAAAGTACTTCTACAAGACTGGCAGGATTCTAATCCTGTACTCACTCTGGATGGTGAGCAGATAGAAGTAGTCGAGAAGTTCGTGTATCTGGGTAGCTGCATAAGTGCTGGTGGTGGCGTGAGTGATGAGATCAATGTAGGTATAGTGAAAGCTAGAGCGGCTTATGCCAATCTGATCCATCTTTGGCACCTTCGTGATGTCAGTCTGGCTGTAAAAGGTCGGATCTACAATGCGTCAGTGAGAGCAGTTTTGCTCCATGCTTGTGAAACCTGGTCTCTCCGAGTTGAGGACGTTAGACGACTCTCTGTGTTCGATCATCGTCGTTGTCTCCGAAGAATTGCTGACATTCAGTGGCAACACCATGTCAGTAATGCAGAGGTTCGGCTTCGTGTGTTCGGTTGCAGAGACGATAATTCAATTGGTGTCACCATCTTGAAACACCGACTTCGGTGACTTGGACATGTTCTACAAATGTCGTCCCAGAGAATTCCATGTCGTGCATTATTTGCCGACTCTAGGACTGGTTGGAAGAAGTGGAGAGGTGGTCAGTGCATGACATGGTGTGGTGGCATGAAAGAAAGCTGCAAAGGACTGGCTTGTGTTGGTCCTTCACGACTCCCTGGCTGGTGTCCGAGAGATGGTGGAACACAGTGGCTAGAGACTTTATCAGATATAGCTGAG